TAGATGACTGAATAAAGACAGCAAAAATATTGATCTAGTCGCGTCTCATTTATATCAATGCAACAATTCCAATCGCAATATGTTCATGGTACTCCATTGGGTACAAATTCTCCTTTATCAAGATCATTAGCTAAAAATACATCAAATGGATTAGTTCCATCACATCGTTTATCTCAAGTATCAGCTAATGCATTATGTTTAGCATCAAATCATAGTTCAAATCAATCACGTATTTTATTAAATTTAAATACTCAATTAAAACTATCCGAAAGAATAAAAAGTATTTTATTAATTATCATTTTAACTGTTACTTTTGCTTTTCTTCTTATAACAACAATTGAACTGTCAACGACACTTGTTAAATATAAAACAGAAAAAAATTTATCATCATCTCTGAATAAAATACTAAATTTAACTCGAATGAATAATCAATCAAAATCAGACGAAGAAAAAACTTCTCCTATTCGTTCATTCTTTGCATGCATATGGCTTTTTAATGTTTTTCTATTTTTAATTTGTTTATTTACACATTTATTTCTGTATCGACAACATCCACAACATGGTCGAGCAAGAGCAGCTTTTCTTAGGTAAAACCTTTATTATCAATAAATTTTATTTTAAACCAAAAATTTTTCCTTACTAGATTAATAGAATACTTTTTCACACAGATATAAGTAATTGTCACGTTTTAAGCTAAAAAAAAAGTAACAATTTGTCAAACGAATTCATTAAAAATCTCTACTCGTTGAATGTATGGCATAGGCTTAGTTGACAGAACATCCGTCATCGGTAAAGAAAGAAAAAAAGAGCGGAAGGCAAATGTTGCGCATCATCACGCTTCTTTCATATGACACACGTTAAAGCACTATGAAGAAAAGTATGGAAAAACAGATTAGTTGTTTTTGCTTTGACTATGGTTCTATTAATAATTGTCCTTGACATTTTTTTTTATCATGAAAACTATCTTTTTAACAACAGATTTACAAGATGAAATTTATAATTATTAAATATACGCAACTAATTTTCTTTCAGAATTATTTTTATTTTCACAGAAGATTTTCTTTTCTTTTAATGAGCACTTCTTATCTCTCTGTAGATGAAAATTTTTGCAATGATCTCTTATCCTCAATAGAAAAAGGTATAATTAAAAAGGATAATGCTAATTAAATAGAAGATTCAAATGTTTTTTTTTTTTGTATTTTTTTTTTGATAAAATAAAAGTATCTAATTAATTATTGTAGAGAATGTGTTCGAATATTTGACAATGAACAATGTTCATCAAATAATAAATTTGTTGATTATTTAATAAAAACATGTTTATTATGTATTCTATGGTATTTGTCTTGTTATTTAATATTTCGTTCAATGGTTATACTTATATCTTCTCAAATAATAATATTATGTTCAATTAAAATAACATTACGACAAATGCTCGGATGGATTTTTTTACATGAACAATTTATTGGAAATAAAGTTTGTTTATATATTTATTTTAAATAAATTAAAATATAGTTTTTTATTTTAAAATAGATAATAGCTCATATACTTGCTTTATCAGCTTTACTTTTTCTTGCTCATGATAATGGATTTCGTTTTAATAAATTTTTATTTGCTTTATCAATGGTTACTTGTGCTGTTGTAATGAAAACAACTTTTGATGTAAATTGTGTTCTTTTTTTTTTTTTTTGAACTATTTAATTTATTTAATGTTTTAAATAGATTCTTATGAATGGTTTTATTAAAAATTTAACAAATTCAAAATATCGGACAGTGATGATTAATGTATGTTTATGTGGAACATGCTTTCTTTGGCCATTTGTTTTCTTTTTTCATATAACTCGATTTGAACCAATTTATAGTCACCATTTTTATTCACTTCTTGCCATAATTTCATTTATTAGTGCAATTCGTAAGAGAGAATCATTAAAAAGAAATTAAAATATTTTTCTTTGTTTTAAGTATTTAATATATTGCCAATAACGATTTCTTTTAAATATACCTCATCGGCTAATGTGGCTTCTTTCGTTCTTGCTATTCCTTCAATATCAGGTTAGTTTTGTTTTTTTGTATTTTATTATTGAATAATATGTTTATTTATTTAATTGAATTAATATAGTTATTGATCATTATATGTTAAATATAAAATATTCTCCATTATTTATATTGGCAATATTATGTTCATTATTGAGTGTTCTTCTTTCAATGATACCAAAAGAATGGTTTCAACCAGGTGAAACAATAAAAATGAAACAAGCATTAGGTTTAATTAATAAAGAATCGAATACAAATGTTGCTACTGGTTTATTACCTAGTGGTGGAACAACAATCGGAACATCTTCAGCATTTCAAGAAATAAAAGCACAACGACGAATACGAAATGCTCTTTTATTTAATGAGAACAAAACCTAAGTTTTATTTTCTTTTATTTAGTAAGATTTTTATGAAAATAATCTCGCTTTTTTATTATTTCGGATGCCAAATATCAGTTGAGAGCTAGACATTTATTAATTGTTTCGATTTTTTTAAAAGTCTTTGTACAGCAAAAAATTCGTTTATTTTCTTTTTTTTTGTGAATTTTCTTTTTATTTCGAATAAATTGTTGAGTTAGAATTTTTTACGGAAATCTTTTTGTTAATTAGACAAATAATTATTAAATTTAATTTAATATAGTTTATTTTCAATTTTTACCAAAGAAAAATCTTCGAATATTTAAATAAATGGTTCTTCTGCAGTTTAGTCACACCCTTACGCTGAACATAGCAATCAGTATATGGGTGAGGGCGAGAGTGTGACTAAACTGCAGTAGTATCCTTGTCTTCATCTACACACACTCACATCCCATAACGATTTATTTCCTCAAACTTGACTAATAGTTTTTGGAGTCAAACAATACGAATCTATAATCAGTTATTTGAAATGTTTCAATCTAGTTTTTCGATTATCGCAGATTTAATATAAGAAAATGAATGAGTTTTTAATAATTTGAATTAACGTTTTTCGAGTGAAGACATCTATCTATTTTCTTGAGTTAATCATTCGAAAGACTTTTAATCTAGCTTTATGAAAACTCGTTATTTTCTCAAAATAAATTTGTCTTGATCAAAAAATCTAATTGAAATAATATGAGTCTCATCTATTGTTATCATATCGATTTTTTTTTTATTTTTCAATATCTACTTATAAGAATTGCATCAGTTTTTCGGAAACTTTTTGACAGAACTTGGAAGTTTGACTTAACCTAGTAGAGTGTTTTTATATCATTCTAATCGAAAAAATTTAACATATTAAAATGTTTCAAAATTTCTATAATCGTCATTATCTCATTTAAAAAAATAATTAACTATTTCAAATATTTCTCTTGTCATATTATTATCTGTTTAAAAACTATAAAAAATCGATTTTGTTTTATTTATAATAATATATTATTGTCAAAATATATTCACTGATTGACGAGATTTCATCTTGCAAATAATTAACATTAGATATCAAGTAAATATAAACAGATTTATTAGAGATTTTTCAATTGAATTGAATCATACTATGTTTCTAGAATATTTTTATGAAAATAGATAGAATCGTTGACAGATTCTGTAATAATTTCTTTGAATAAGTTACTATTGAGTAAGAGAAGGACACTTACATTGAGAAAATAAAATTACAACGAAATGATTATTTTCGTAAACTAAATAAAAAAGTAAGAAAACTTTTCGCAAGACAATTGCTAAATTCTGTTTGACTATTCATTATCATTAGTCTTAGTCAACAGTAGAACTGAAATAACTTGAACAAACAAGAACAATAATATGTATTCAATTATTCTTACAATTTTCATCATAATAAATGATAACTGTTTCATATCATATGGGGATATTATATTTTATTACAATAGGGAATAATTTTTAATTGTTTAATTAACAATATCTTACAACAGAAATGAAGATATCTTTAACGTAGCGACTGTTAAAATAAAGATGAACATATTCAAATATGTTTAAAATAGGAATGAGAGTTTAATATTGCTGAACATTTGTTTTATCTAATACCTGATAAAGAGAACTTGCTAATTATTGAGTAAATAGTCATAGAACAAGTAGCAAACAGCTGATGACATATCAATTAATAACAGTAAGAGACTGTAGTTACTCATGAGAAAATTTATCGTTGCTCCATTTAGTCAATAAGGAATTTTTCGTTATCAGTTCGTTGGTAACGTAATCGTTATGTTGGCAATTGTAGATAACAATCTCAATAATTGGTCATTGTTATCTTTATTTATTTGAATTTTTTTAAAAATGAATATCCATTGATGTGGATGGAAAAAGCAAAATCTCGGAGATTAAGAAATACATCACAACTGAAATGGCTTCAGTTAACCTTTTAATAAACCCATGAAAATTCAAATTAGCCAGAATTTCCATGGATAAAGATATCATCTATATAGCAGATCGAGAGTTAAAACAGCCAAATTATTGAAATATCACAATAATATAAATGGTTTTTCCTCAAAGAAAAAAAGAAATAAATATGATTCAATAATAATATCACCAAAGTTACCGTCGTCACAAAAACTTCTACTACCAGGTAAAACTTACATATACTTTCATTGTTTTTGTTCGATACTTCGACTAGAACTAAAGTTTGGTAAATCCTTATCGTAAGTATTAACCCGAAGTTAATCGACTTCAATGCAATGGATTTATTGGTAGTTACAATCATGATTCACCTTTCTCGATTTTTCTTTATTCAAATATGAGATCAAACAATTGAATGTGAAGTTACATTTAGCGTCTAATGTATGCTAATGATAAATGTTTATTTCTAAATAAAAATATCTTTTCAAAAAGAAATTTATCATAATAAATTGATTTAAAAATTTTTAATTACTTTTTAAAAATCTCTTTATGTTTAAATCATTTTCAAAAAAACACGAAAAATTGACTAATTATTGAATAAACTAACATTTTCTTTTATTGATATGAAAAATAACACAAAAATGATGGTCAACAAAAGATACCATCAATCAACGTACATCGACATAAACATTTGGCAATAGGACATTGTTGATTCATTGCAAACCAATTCGAAACATGTTCAGCATGACCACCATGACGACATAAACGACACCATGTAAACCATTGACTTGACATTAATGTATGTTTATCTAATTGAATATTTTAAAATGAAAAAGCAAATAAATTATTCATTAACGAGAGAACTTTCACAACTGATTAATCACTTTTCATTTGAAACTATCAATATCGTCTAAATCAAAATTAGCAATGACAATGTTGAAAAGAGTTTAAACCCTTAGCTTATTTCTATGCAAATACGTTTTTCTTATAGTATTTTTTAATTTAATATTGTCTTTCTTCTCAGGATTTAGTATAGAGATATGTCTTAATGAAAGTAGTTTATTGTAAAATCTTTAGATCTTGTGATTAATTTCTATATTGAAATAAGAACGTGGAAATCTACCTGTATATATGAGCGATGTAAAATATACACATTTCCCATAGCCGTATTTTAGGATAGTATAAACCGAAAATATCTCAAATATTTCCAATAAACAATTTTGATTACAATCTGTTTCTGTGTGAAGTGTTAAGATAAAAATTCCAAAATCAAATTCTCCGATATTTCTAAGGATGATCATGACATTTAAAAATGCAGTATTTTAGCAGCAATATGTTCAAGAGACAAACTCTATTCAAGATATTGATAAGTGATTAGGATTTTTTCTGATTGAAAAATAATTAATTAGTTGTAGGTAATTTGTGTCATTAGTTGAACTAACCAAGTAATGGTTCATATGCATAAGATGCATCTTCAATGTATGTTGTTAAACTCATCATACAAATTGAACAACGTGGTAAGACTTGACGACATTTGGCGCATACCATCAACTAAATAAATATAAACTAGTTTAAAAAGAAAAACGTTTTTTGGATTATTTATGAAACCATATCAGAATTTGGTGGTGGATAAGCAGATGAAGATGATGTAGATGATCTAGTTGTCATTGTTTGTTGTGATACTCGACTTTGAACTTTCAATGGTGTTGTTGGTGTAGGTGTTGTATTTGTATTTGTTGATAATCCAATTATTGTTGGAGTTTGACTTGGTGTTCCTTGATTAACCTCAAGTGGTGTTTGACAAAAAATACATGAAAAATGCGGATTTGTATTTATTGAACGATCAAAATAATGTCGACGATATGGCGTTGTACCTGTTACATGACTACGATATATATCAAATTCAGCACGTTCATTCCACATTTGAAGTTCATCAAGAAGAAGTCGAAATCTATAATAAAAAAAAAAAATTAATATTTTAATTAAATAAAAATAAATATTGTTGTTTTTAAATAACCCTTCAATCCATTCTTGAACATAAGGACATTCTTGATGTACATCTTCTGGAACATAAATAGCAAGTAATGCAGCTGTACGAATATCACTTGTTTGATCAAGATATTTCTGTATAAGTTCACATCCATTTTGTCTTAATCCTATTATAAGATCAATAATAATTAATCTTGTTTATGTATAATTAAAAATTGAATAATAATATTCTTAACAAGTGAATAGATAACAATAGAGTAATAATATCTTTCAAACTTCTGCAAAATGTTTAAAAATTTTTTTTTCTCGAGATATCAATTAAAACTTTCCCATAAGTTTTGAATGACTAACAAGTTTATCTTATTTTATGTATGATTCCTATGTTAATATATTAACAATGAATAAATATTGAATTAAAATGAAATTCTTAATCTAACTAATAACTTTTAATTCTCTTAAATGATTCATCAAAATTAAACAAATAGTTTAGGTCGCTGATTACGGTGTCCGAATTCGTGAATTTCCGGTAGGAAAACTTCCGTTTCCAGTTGGAAAAGCTCGGAAAAAGATAAGAGCTTCGAAGCAAAAACCCGGTGATCGAAAATGATGGCTCGATATTTCTAGTTCCAGTCGTAATCGGACAGAGTCGATCACCCAATCTAATCTTCATATTGTCGCTTCGAAGTTTCTACCAGTTTCTGGTCAAAATCAATCCGTATTTCTTGATCGAGAATATTATTGAAAATATATTCTTTTAAATTAATAAATAAAACAAACCAGTAAGAAGAATTCCTTGTAGATCTCCTTTTTCGCGACTTTCCTCAGCTAATTTATCTAATTTATCATAAAGACGTTGATCATTTAAATATCGAGCAGCAAATGCAACTTTATCATTAAGATCTAATTGTTCATCCTAAGAAATAAAAATTTTTAAATAAAATGAACAAAAAACTGAATAAAAAAATCAATACAAGAACACATTCATATTGAAGATCATTTCCATCTTGTATAAGAATAAATCCAAACATAGCTCGAATATAAGGTCGATGAAATAATTTGGTTACTGATGAAAATTCATTGATTATTGTTTTATCATCATTATTTGTTGACGTCGCTCGAATCGAACCAACTAATGCAAGTATTAATGTTGCCAATTCTTCTTTTCCACCTTTTAAATAATTTTATTTATTTATTTAAATTAAAATAAATATTTAAAAATAATAACCTCGTTGAAGACCCTCATTAAGTACTTCTAATGCTCGATTAACATTCATTTGAAATATATACAGTGCAGCTACTTTTTCGTATTCTTCTTGTTCTAATAATAATCCCAGACGATCATAACCAACTGATTTTGAATCGACATTTGACCATCCACATAATTGAGCAACAATTTGTCTATTAAAACAAATATTTTACTTTTTCAGAATAAATTAAATTTTATCTTATATTAATGAGTAAAAATGACAAAACTATTCTGTTTGATCCATATATATTGGTTTATTTTAATGAAAACGAATACAACCACGTTAAAGATGTTTGTTTAATATAAATTTGTCAAGACTAAAGAATATTCTACTAAAGATTATTGAAACAAAAGTCTATTAAGTCACTTGTTGATTCAAACATCATTGACAGGCCTCGTAGCGATCCGTCCTGGGTATATAGGAAAATATGGGACATTAAAAGCAGCATTTTTATAGGATTTTTATAAAAATATAGGAAATATATAGGACTACATTTTTTCCGTAAGACAGTATTTAGCAGAATTGCCAAACATTATAATTACTCCTACGATCATAAACAGTTTATACTCGAAGTTATCAAGTTAATTGAAAGCGAATAGATATATATATTTACACATTTCAATTACTGAAGAAAAGGGATTTAAGAGAGTTCGATCCAAAAAATGTTANATTGAACTGTATTGAACAAGAAGTGCTTTCACCAAAACCAAGACAAAAAAGTTTTTTCGGTCCCTGAGGGGACCCCAAGTATGAAAAAATGAGTGATTATGAGATATAAAATAAACATGTGAAAAATGATCATGGATGAATGCTGATTCTCAGGATAATAAAATTAGGTTCACATTTGTTTGGGACACTAAATCCATAATCTGACAGATCTCCTTTCTCAAATCACTGAAAATACTTAGTTTTCAGCTTTTCCCCCCTTGGGAACCAAGCGGATCTCGGAATCCTCTGTGTTCCCAATATATCGCCTTTATCCTCTGTATCCATAATGGACCCTCACCACATTCAGGATACGAAGATTCCTCATGGATCCCCATATCCGGGATACGGCGGATACAACGAGAATACGGTGGGATCCAGAGGATACCGGGATCCGCTTTTCCTCCTTGCACTATCGCCAAAAAAGTGCATTTTTCGCGATTTTTTGTGACATCTATATACCATCTACTATAAATATGTTTCACTGGAAATTTTTACTGTCAATAGATATCGTGATTTTGTATTACTGAAAGCAAAATGAGCTCAGAAAGCTCTTCCAACTCTCCTATTATTGTTCCAAGTAGGACTCGGCGGGCTTTATCCAATGGTATGCTCAGATTTTCCATAGCTCAAACCAACGCTTACAAAATTGATTTTTCAATTTTTTCCTCATGGCATCCAGGTATCCAGAAAAGTATTTTCAGCCCGAATTCGCTCAGAAAGCTTTTCCAACTCTCCTATTCTTGTTTCGAGTAGAACTCGACGAGCTCTGTCGCACGGTATGCTTAGACTTGCCACAGGCTAAAGTATGATTCTTGGGACCATAGGTGGCGCTGTACAAAGCCTGAAAATTATATTTTTGGTTATAGAAAATATGAGCATGCTATTGCATAGAGCTCGTGGAGTTGTATGTGAAACAAGAATAGGAGATCTGAGATAAGTTTCTGAGCGTATCCGGGCTGGAAAAACTGGAATCTGGTGATTACTTCACCTACGTCCGATAAACTGAAAAATACATCTTCATCATACGTGCTATTCTTCTTGTTTTTCTTCTCTTAACTTGTCTTCCATCCTTTCTCTTCATTCAATCAACGAACGATATCCGCGAAGCAATTAATCAATTTAAATATAGTCGATGCTTAGAGTTAGTTCATTTTCGTCGAATTTTTTTTCGTCGATGATAAGTTTTGCCCAGTTCCACTTTCACCAAACAACGAAATTGTTGCTGGTGAAAATGGAACCGGGTGAAGTTGGACGTTGACGAAAAAAAAACTTCAGTGGAAATGGACTAAGCCGATATTTGTGTACTTGACTGTATATACATCAGACTCAAGATAAGAAAATTATTCGAATAGACATAAACACAAGACTAGTTATAGACGAATGATCTATTATATGCCATTTTACCATAGTAGAATACAGCAGTACAATATTAGGGTGTGGGATGTGGGCGTCCTGATCTTTTTACTCGCACTCACACTCACGACATAGGGCATGGCAGAGGAGAGGAGGAGCATTCCCTGCTCAGAAATGTTTAGACTGAGCTTTCCCCAAATTTTAAGATTTCGGTGGATCAATTTTCTCTAAGTTTGGGAAAAAAAATCGTTAAGCAATTTTCTCAGATTTAATGTTGATCTCCCTGCTCCAACAGCTTCGCGTCGACCCTACCTAAGCCCTCATCTAGCAACTGCCTGGTTGAGCCACTAATATAGATATTCCAACTAATAATTATATCGAATTTGTATAAGTAATTGTCTCTTTTGTTGATCTATTGCTTCCTATGTTATTCTTATTGGAACCGAATAAGAGATTCAATAGAAGAAGCTTAAGATCTTGCACATAAGTATGAATCTTCACTGAAAGATTTAACAAAATAGAAGTCATGTTGTTACAAGTATGGCTTAAGCACTATTTTAGTATAGTTTATTGACTGATTACGACCTACTCAAATGAAGAATGTACACAGCACTCAATAGAAATCGGTCAATACTACAGATGAGTTGGTTGATAAAATACTTCATGGTTGGTTTACCTCTTTTTTAAAATATTTTATGAATGTTTCACTAGTCTTACTTTATCTGTATTTGTAGCAATTGATATTGCAACATTCGAGAGAGAGCTCTAAGTCAACAACAAAAAGAGTTTAATCATTCAAACCAGTAAAGCAGTTAGTAGATACAAAAAAAAAGAGATAACCATTATGATTTTTTTGCTGGTATCTATTTATTGCTATGTATATCAGTATATAACATTTCATATCTAATTCGTTATCGATGCACACGTCTTCTATGGAACTTGATTCTTTTTGTGCATTTACATATTTGTTCGTAAAGACCAAAACGGTAGATAGCATTTTCACACAGATTTCCATATCTGATCTCGCATGATCGTGTAAGATTCGTGTCTTATCTAATATGTTTCGTTTGTGATTGATCTTCTCTGGTTTTATATGATCAGGCTGGTGTTGTAATAACGGTTCTGACAAGTTTCGTATCTTATAATTCTTGTAAGATTTTTGCTTGAGTCATACGATATGAATTAATGGAAGTCTTGGAGTATCCTACGAACATACACGAGCATCTGTTGTCTCAAAAAGAATTGCTAACTAGAAACCATTCAAACAGTGAATGCTACAACATTAACAAATGACGTGCTGAATAAAACATCTACCTTTTTTATGCATTATTTATTATGTTTTGGAGCTTTGAGAATAAAAAAGTGTCATGAAAACAAGCAACAAGTTATTTAAATTCATAAAAATACGAAGAGTCAACAGTAAAAGACAACTGTCCACATTTTCCCGCTTTTCGAATTTAAGAAAATACCAACTCTGACCAACGCCCGCATCCCACTATAGAAATATCCCTTTATAAAAGTAAACGCATATTTCAATATAGCTTGATATTCTCTATCATCCTATATATTTTTGTTTTGCCTTACATTTATGTGTTGCAGCACATAAGTGCAGGACAAGGCAAATATATATATAGAGTGACAGAGAGTTTCAAACTCTATTGAAATATGTATTTACTTGTCTAGAAAGATATTTCTATAGTGATGAAAAATTGAAAAAAAACTAATGTCGATGGCAATGACAAAATCAAGTACATAGGAATTTGATGATGAGGGTGCCTTCATTGGACTCGATTCATTTTCGCACTGTATTAATGCAAATTAAAACATAAATGCGCAGCGTGATAGAAAACTCCCAGCACTTTCTGAATATGTATTTATTGTTTTTCAAACATGTTTTTATATTGACGATGTATTTAAAATACGCACTGTCACTATTCATTTTCAGACGTACATGTTTGTAAATTACATATATGCTAATCATCTTTTTCCTTTCTTTTTTACACGATGAAGTACGACCATATATGGTCTTTTACGAGTATCACAATGATTGTTCTGGGGTATAGTTAAACATTTTTTTATTGTCAAATCGTTTTTTTTCTGCATACCGTATAGCTGTTAATAAAAGAATAATCTTGCTAGATGAAAGACAATGTTTTATGATCGGAAGATATATGATATTAAGCCTTTTATCAGTAAGATCTACATACTGATTAATGTGTTCGAAAGAAAAAAAGAACGACCTTGTCAATGTTAAGACTCATATTGAAAATAAATTAAAAGTAGATCATATCAAAATAAACGGTTCCATCATGTAAGTTGGCTGATGTAAATAACATATCAGTTTAACTTCTATATTATTGAAATAGATCCTTCTTTTTTATGTTTAGTTTCATTTCTGTATGACATAAATAGTGCATTGAATAGTCAAAAAACAAATACTTTCTTTTTTATATCAATATGACAGTTGCAACGAGTTAAATATAAGGAGAATGTACCTTTTTTTCTGCGTTTAGATTTACATCAATAAGTATTCAATTAAAAATAATACTAGAAAGAATAATGGATTTTTCTTATGTTTGAATGCAAATCATCAATGAAACAATATTTATCAATTTTTCGAATAATAGATGGTATAACGACTATTATTCATCACTCGACAAAAAAAACCAAACGCTACGAAATGAAAATGAGTCTCGACTGGAATTCGAATCCGGGTAGTATCACAACTCGGGAGTGGGTGTGGGTGTGGGTCTGATTGTTAGTCACTTCACTTACATCCACACCCAACTATACGAAAACAATTTAATAATCAACCTGTCATTTATAAACAATTACAATCTTTATTAGAGGATGTGGATGTAAGGAATATTTCTTTCAATTAAGTTGATTTTCTTGACAGCATTAATTTTGTTTCATATGCCATTCAGTTTGCTAACGGAATAATAAAAGAAAGAAACATTTTCCGAGCGTAATGTTGACACAAAATAGGTCGAATGACAAATATAGCTTCGTATGAATCACTTACTAAGAAAAATGAACCAATATATTTATTCATTTGTGACTAAGCGCATATAGTGCAAATGGTTCATTTTCTTATTAAGGTCAATTTTTAGGAGAGAGGTATTGTGTATTTGAAACCTAAATTTTGACGCTGTTTCATTATTACTACTCCAAATATTATTTTATATTATTTACTGTCAACTTTTTTTTTAAATAAATTATCAATTAACGGGGTGTGGATGCGGATGAGTGTGAATGGTGTGTTTTCTTCATCCAGACTCACATCGACACTGGCACCCCAAGGTCATCGGATGTGAGATATTGAAATATTTCGAAGAGAAGTTTCATAGATAGATCTTTCAATCGAGATACATTTGACTCACTCATCTCTTGGACTTTTTGTTCGATAATAGCAAAGCGATGTTTTCTATTACTCAATACTTGCGTGAAACATGTCTTTATATATTTGTCTCCTCTAGAACCATCAATAGGACAACAGCCTCACATATCAACAAAAATGCATTCATTACTAAATAGCCTTCGAATTGAGGAAGTGATAAAAAAACACTATTGCGTGAAATATTACGATGCGTTATCGATATATTAGTCAACGAAAATATCTCGTTCTGTATGCCTTTTCTCTCCAACTTACAATTATATTTCATCTACTATGCACATGAGTGAAATCGTATATGGCGTTATTAGTTGAATGACGATCGCAGCGGAGAGAGAAAAAACAAAAGAAAGAGTAAAAAACAATAGATGCTTTATTCAGAAATAACGACTAGCGATAACCTATTTACCTTAATTTAAAATTAAGTTGAGAATCATTACTAAATACGACAGCTGATGATCAGCTAGAGATACTCTAAGAGCCCTGAAAGTGTAACTCAAATCGGAGGATCTTCCGACATTTGCAATTGCAATTATCCATATTGATGCTTTTGTGAAAAAAGTAGTTTAACAGATATATATAACTGCTTAAACTGGTGGGATTCTTGTAATTTCCAGCTTTTTTAAATATCTTAATGATTTTAAATGCTTGAAAGCGCTGAAAAATCAAAATTTAAAGACTTCTCAGTTGTTTTAAGTGTTATGGTCTTAAGTAGCCTGCTTAAGATTAGCTTACAATGGTAAAAATTTTTATATGAAATATTGTTCTTTTTCGTTTACTATTTGATGAAGATACTTTTGTCACCGGATCCTCCCTGAACAAAACAAATCAGTAAACAGGGATGTTTAGAATGGAGGAGCGTCGAGAGGGACTGGGCCCTAATCTTGAAAAATTTGTGTTTCCCCCATTACAATTGAACGATTGTCTTCATTATTTTGACCTATCAGCCTCCGTAGCAACGTCAACATCCCTGTAAGAAAAAATATCTAATCCTCAAGGGATTCAAGGATGTAGTCGGTCGCAATCATGACAAGATTTGTGCATGTTGAAAAAAAATACGCTTTTGTACGCAGGTGCAATTATTATACAGAATGTCTTTTGCGCCATTATATCTCAATATATCACAATTGAGTCATATGAATGTCACATGACAAAGTTCCCTTGCTAAGCATATAAATAATAATTTTTTAATCATTGACATCGTTCCTACGGTCACATGTGTTTTTTCGATGTATACTATGATACTCATTTACTGCATTCTGTCTTAGGCATATCTTACACCCCCTGTTACAACTATATTAATTGCCATAGTTGAGTCTGGCGAATGACATTTTCACCCCGCAATCATCGTCATTATCAATATAAAATATTGTGTTCTTTCTCAAATTAAAGGTCATCATTTTTATCTGACAATATCATCTAACCTTCAATGCTACGCGTAGGTCGTGTGAATCGTGACTTATGTCCAATTGAAATACCTGAAAATCATGAAGAAGTTATTTGTCTCATTTGGCTTGATTCCAATATGGACAATTCCAAAGATTCCTTCCCTATGCAAGAAACTTTGCTCGAATTAAATTCAGACGTTCGACTCTGCACAGAAGTAAATCTATGTATTGATTTAATCAAGACACTGATTCATAAACGTATAGTAATTATCGTATGCGGAGATTTATCATGTAAAATTGTGCCAGAAATTCATGGATTTCGTTCAATAGTTGCCATTCATATCTTTTGTATCAATCGAGAATTTTACGAACCATTGATGGCTAAATATGAGAAAATCGTGGAAATTTTTTCCGATCGACAATCTTTACTCGAATCAATTTGTGAGACTATATCTTTTATTGAAAAGCAAATTTATGCATTCAACCTATTTGGTCAAAAACAAAAATCCGTACGAGATCCACCAAGAGGATCAGCATCGTTTCTTTGGCATCACTTACTTATATATGTACTTCGACAATTACCTCAAGATGAACAATCAAAAAAAGATATGCTCGATAAATGTATCGATTACTATCAAGATAATAAACGTGAATTAAAAAAGATTCAACAATTTCGTCAAATGTATACATCTGATAAGGCCATACAGTGGTATACACACGATTGTTTTCTCTATCGTCTATTAAACAAAGCTCTTCGAACAGAAGATATTGATTTACTTTATTCATTTCGATTTTTTATCATCGATCTTTGTAATCAACTCGAAAATAATAATTATGAAAGAAAATCAAACAAAACTATTTCAACATTGTATCGTGGTCAACGTATTTCTAAAGAAGAATTTGAAAGATTACAAAAAAGTGTTGGTTTACTTATTTCGACCAATGGATTTCTTTCAACGTCGCGTGATATAACTATTTCTTTAGTCTTTGCTGGACCAGGTATTACAAATAACAATGATCAATATTCAGTTTTATTTGTTATCAATGTTCCTGTATCATTAAAACGAGTCATTTTCGCTGATGTACATGAACAAAGTGAAATACCAAGTGAACAGGAAGTACTTTTTAGTCATGGTGCTACATTCAGGATGAATTCGGTTGACTTTGATTCAAATTTGAACACATGGAAAGTAGTAATGACAGTTACTGATGAAGGTTTAGATAATGTTCAAGAATATAAATTATTATTAGACGAACTAATGCAAGATCAGAGTTCAACTGTATTATTCGGAGCTTTTTTATGGCGTGATATGGAATATATAGAACATGCTAAAAAATTCTTTGATGAACTGCTTGTCAGACTACCTTCTGATCATTCTGATCTTCCTTTTGTCTATAACTACATCGGTTCAGTATACTATGAAAAAGGTGAATTTAATTTAGCATTGGAATATTACCAAAAAGCTTACAAATACCGCCAGGAGCGACTTTCATCGGATCATCCAAATATCATTGCTTCACTACACAATATTGGTAATATTTATTGTGAAAAAGGAGACTTTGATCAAGCTATCGACTATTATTACCGTGCACTGATGATTGATAATAAACATTATATTGACACATTCCCAAGAGCAGCTATATATGAAGCTCTAGGGAATCTTTTTCGAAAAAAATGCGATTCAAATAATGCTCTCATTTGGTTAAATCGTGCGTATAATATGTATACGAGACTTCTACCAAGCCCACATCCACATATTGCCCGATGTATTGGTAATATTGGTCTTGTTCATGAAGCAAATCGTAATCTTGATCGTGCTTTAGAATATTTTTTTGAAGAATTCGAAATGGAAGAACAATGTTTACCACCTGATCATCCTAATCTCTCGATGCATCTTGATTGGATTATAACTATGTATAGAGAAAAAGGCGAATGGGAAAGAATTCTACGATATTTTCGGGTAAAAACGAACACAACCAAGCATAAATTTGTGTTTAATCGGCGTCATCTGGCTTCTACATTACAAGCGATGAAAGATTTTTCGCCTGATGCTACAAAAATATACACGAAGCATTATGAACTATCGATGATGAACTCCTTAACACGTACACTCGAAATTGCTTCAGTAAAAGAGAAATCTGATGCATTGACTACAAATCGATGTATCAGAAGACTTAGTGTCTGCAGTGTTGATGAACAGAAATTAGAAAAAAATCTAACATACTGGATTCATGCATTGAATATCGAACGGCGCGTCTATTCATCTGACCATCCAGAAATAGTTCGATCATTACGATGGGTCGGAGAAAGTCATATCGAGACTATACGAGATTATTCCGAAGCGTTACGAATGTATTCTGAACGTTTACGAAGTTTTGCCAAAGGATCGGCCAATTTCAAAGATATAGAGTGTGGAAAATATACTGACTTTGATATGAATGATTTCGAAAGAAAATTTGTCAAAACAACTATTTAAATCGGATTTATTCATAAAATATCAATTAGTGTTCGAATTTCGAGTACATAATAAAAGTGAAAGTCAATGATGTTACGATCTCTAAAGAGAAAAAGCAGACCTTCCTGTACAAAGATGTTGATCATATTTATTATTTTACTATAATAAAATATGATGGAATACAATGACTTATACAGAAAAAAATATATGTCTGAATACACTGTATCACTTTTTATGAGTTGCTTTTGTGAATGCGTAGAAATGCCACCAGCTAGATTGATTTGTAAGACGGAAAAATGCAGTCTGATTTTCTAAATCTTTTATGTTAGGGTATCTTTAATTAATTTACTGGAATATGATCAACCGTAGATATATCATTTTTTATTTTACAGATCGACCATCGAATATTGACAGAAACCATTTATGATTTGTGTAAACTATTAGAACTTTTGAAAATTCCAAACTGTTCGAGAAATCTTTATCGAGTTGAACGGGTTTTACTACCTAATTCCTCTGTATCGACCTCTTCATTCGTTATCTATATTTGTTCAGTCTGTTGCGAAGCGTCAGCATTATCACATCGCTGTATCCACGTTAGATGTACACAGCACACATGTTTTCGTACATTATCTTTTTATTCTTTACGATTCCCTATACTTTAACAATTACGAGAAAATCTTGCTCATACACAAGCATTAAATTTTGGACAACAAAAATAGTGTTTCTCAGATATTGGTGTTATGAATAATATTTATGACGCAGAAGCATATCAACATATAATAGAGAGAGAGACAGGGAACAACTTTTTAATTTTTATCATGAACGTAAAGTCTGGGACAAAAATTTAAGCGAAATTGGTTTTTCAGATTCTTTTTTAACATTTCTTTTTCATATTAAGAGGCGTGAAGCTGATTCAAATGGTGGCATAGATGGTACGAGAGGCCAGCTACATGATATATTATAGAACGATACTCTGTTTGTCTATACAAATTTTTCATAATTAAAATAATTTTTTCCTATGTAAAAATAGGTTTAAGTGCCTTTCAGTATTTCGCATTTTTCTAACCAAGAGGTTTGTGCTAAAATTAAAAAAATTATCAATCGACAGAGAATTTCACGCTCTATTAGTTTACAAAAAGATTTTTTCCTAGAGTTTATCTTCATCTCCAAAACTTGATTTTAGTGAGAACAGTCAACAAAAATAGAAAAAGTGAATTACCTCTCATAGACTCCCTCTTATTACAACGTTTAATATACCGTCGGAAAGAGCATTCAAAACTGAACAAAATATTGTACTTGAAGTTCGAATATCACTGATTTTTCACCCCTATTTTATTGAAATAAAGTTTTGAGAAACACGATCAGTTTTTCTTTTTTAATTATTTTGATGGGAGAAAAATGCGGACTGTTCTCACTAAAATCAAGTTTTGGAGCTGAAGATCGAATCTGAAAAAAATCTTTTTTTGTAAACTAATAGATCGTGAAATTCTCTATCGATTGATATATTTTTTTAATTTTAGCACAAACCTCTTGGTTAGAAAAATGCGAAATACTGAAAGGCACTTAAATCTATTTTTGCATAGGAAAAAATTATTTTAATTATAAAAAAATCTATATAGACAAACAGAGTCTCGTTCTATAATATATCATGTAGCTGGTCTCTCGTACCATCTATATCACCATTTGAATCAGATCCATACCTCTTAATATGAAAAAGAAATTGAAAAAAGAATCTGAAAAACCAATTTCGTTTAAACTTTTGTCCCAGACTTTATATCACTAAATGTCCATAGTGCAGTTTTGGTAACTGCCTAGATATCGATGAATAAACATAGGTTCCATTGATTTTCAGTTAAAATACCCTGTCCATTGGTGTCCATTGTAAAAGTCTGAGATGTACAACATCTTGTTCTAGATCTAGTTCCAAGAGGATAAAATACATGCAATTTGGGTACAACAAGATCATGCTCGATCGTGAAAGGACGAATAGTGAGATCAATATTTGGAAATTCATGAAGAGCTTATTTCATCAAACAAATATATATTGTAATAGAATCAATTTGATTTTTGAGTAACGTCTTGTTCTTGCCTTAATTCATGAATTTTAAGTTTCAATAGACTGAGTTCTACTTTTGTTTATCTTTGCCATATGTTTGAGACCAGCTGGTTTATTCAAGGATTGACTTTTGACTTGATGCACAAGAGTAAAGATTTCGTCTGTGAGTTTTATTAGTTTTGAATTGAGTAGATCTGAGTGTTCTTTCAAATGATTAATACATACATGTTCTTGACTGCAATGGCATAGTGCGAAAAATGGACGTTTACATGTGACAATTACAAATATTTGTACTAGGCAGGTTGCCATATGTGTTGTTGTTTGCAGTAAAAGAAAAGTTACAGTTGACGAAAAAAGAAAGTTATGCTATGTTTTAGTTGATATTATTTTCCTAGGAACTGGATAGGTTTAGTTTTTATTTACTCCTTAGTTCTTACAATTATATTAGAAGAGAAAGAAAAGAAACAGATGTTGTAGTGGTACTCTCAAGAGAATTTATTGGTTAAAATGTTCAGTTCCCTAAAACTCGACTATAAATGAAGATGTGACGGTGGTCAATATGAATATCTTTTCGCCAACAACCACATCCTACCATATCCCTACAGACTTTCTGGAATTATTTGGATAGTTTTCAGAAATACGCTTTTGAAAATTTGTATAAACTCACTCCATATTTATTAATTCGAATCATTTCAAATTCATTAGTGTGCTATCTAGGTGATAATTATGCTGATGACCAAGGCAGAAAATATTCATTCTGGTTAATTAAAAAAACATGATAAAATTCTTTATATTCTAGAATACTCTGAAATGATATGATGAAATAATAATTTTTCAAGAAAAACGATCGTACAACGTGAAATTGATTTTAAGACTGTCAACGATCAATATGATTAGAGTCTATGATGAAACATTCTTTAGAAGAATAATAGGTTTGTTTTAACATAATCTAATTATTGATCATCAGTCGTCAATGAGAATGCTTATATCTGATTCAAAGATAAACATATAATTAACTGTAGTAATATCAACTTAAATAACAATGCTAATTCCTTATAAACAAGAATCTTAACGGATTGTGTGCAATAGAAGAATCACGAGATGCTAGTTGATACAGTATTGATAAAAATAAAATCGAAGAATAACATTGATGATCTCTTCCATATAAAGTCTTCTTTGTTTTAAAAAAGTAAATTTGCGTTTAATAGTTCATGAATATGATGTTTTTGTTTTTCTGGAGATATCTTTTCATAAAGAACAACTTCAATATTGTATCATTGAAAGAAAACAAAGAACTAGAAGAATAATAATTTGAAATGTGAAAGGAAATAACTCTGTGACCGATAATAATTTCATTAATAGAATTCAATGTTTACTAAAATAAGATGATAAGACAACTGAAGTCCTTCAATGAGCAAAAGAAGTATTTCAATAAAAAAAAAGTTTATTGTTATATCAACCACAAAATTAGACGATAAACAATAATAGATATGTCAACAGTTTATAAAAATAAAACAAAGATTAAGCACAAATAAACTTCTGTTTTAGTTTCATTTTGATTATGTATTTCGAGTAATAACGAAGTCAATTTCACTATCTTTCACCTAAGAATAAGAAAATTAATTTTCATAAAGAATCAAACAAAACTTACGGAAAGCTTTTTAGTTATAATAATATGGTTATTATCTTTATTTGTTAAACTTCTTAATGAAATAAATGGTTTTTTAAGAATAGCTTCAATTTCATCTCGTTGTTTAGATGCAACACGAGCAATTTCACTTGTGTGGTTCTACTGAATAATAAATTTTTATATCATCAGTTAGATTTAATTTAGCCTTTAAAAAAGAAACTAAATATTAATTCAAATTAATAATCAATATCAAAATAAAAAAACCTCTTTTCGAAGTTTTTGAACTCGATTTGTAATTTCATGAATAAGACCTTCTTCTTTTAATGAAGCATCAGCTTTATAATCAAGTAAAACAACAAACTATTTATAAAAACACAATATCGAAATCTAAGAAAAAAAAAGAAAAAAAACTCATACTCCTTGTTCAGCAGTATCCTCAAATCGGGTTTGTTTCGTTACACGATAAACAATATGAATATCTTCCAATTCAATTGGTACTTCATCAATTATTTTTAATGGACTTTCATCTTGACTTTTTGATAATAATGTTTCAATATCTGCATCAGACATTTCACGAATTAGTTGAGTTACTGATTTAAGTTTAGCTAATTATATATTCATTTGTTAAATAAATATGAAAAAAATCGATATTCTTACCACCAGCTTTTTTGCCTAATGTTGAATAATTTGGTTCAGCACACATTTCAACACCATAAAATTCACGATCTTGAGATAATGTTAATTTACGTACATTTAAACCCTTGAATAGTAAAAATAAATATGAAAGAAGAAGTTTAATAAAACACATACGTTTCGAACAAAATCTTCTAATGATTCAATATCTTTTAATACAGATGGATCATAATGAATGACAACAAATTCTGGTAATGGATACTAAAAACCGATTCAGTTTTTTAAAATTTATCTTACATAAATGAATTAAATTTACTTTCATTGGAATAACTTTTCGGTCTCGTAAAAATCGACCTAATCCAATAACTGTTTGTACAGCATCTACAGCATGTTCAATATTTTTATTTACCAATGATTGACTAAATAAATCGTTTTAATATTTTGTTGAAAATTAAAAAAAGAACTAACTCCGATTGTGGAATCATTTGAAAATGAACACTTAATTCTTGCTCATCTGATGAGAATGATTGTGGCATTAGTTTTCTCAAGATCTGATACATATATTCAGCAAGAAATGGTGTAAATGGTGTCATTAATTTAGCCATTGTTAAAAGAATATAACAAAGAACATTTAATGAAACAAGACAATCTTCTAATGTTGTTTCATCCTAAATAAAACTTAAGTTCTATTATTTTTATCCAAAGAAAATGACTTGTATGACTATGAAGATAAGAAATATTTTTACCTTAAAACGTTTCTTATTCAATTTGGCATACCAATTGGTTAACATATCAATATATTTAATAAGACGAGGCACTACTGTATACAAACGATAAGCTAAAATAAAAATGAAATTCATTGGAAATAGGTATCTTGAATAATAATATTGGTTTTTGATTATACAAGGAATTGAATTTATATATAAACAAAGATTATATTTCTAATTGAATATGAATTATGTAATATATATAGCAACTCTTACAGATTATTCAAATATTAAATACATGTCAAACTTAGTGTTTGAAATTATCAGATACTCCAATACATACAATGCCTTATTGACTGAGAAAAAAATTGTATAGAATAATTTTGCAATTAACATCTTAAAAATGCAAGTCTATTCTTTGGTTAGATCTAATGATGTTAACAATTGCTTTTATTTAAAAGCGAACGGAATGGTGACGTTTTTTGAATGTTATTGATATCAATATTCACATTAATAACGGATGATTGTAAAGTTTTTTTAACAAGATATTTGTTTACTTCTGATCCATTGGGAAGTATTTTCAACTAGTCAAAAAACGATGAGTTAAGATTCTCTTTTCGAATATGAACATAGAAATTTAGTCTCAGCTTGTGCTCGAGAACAGTGAAATAATCTTTGAAAAGCCCGACACATTAGTTTGAACGGAAAAATTATTGTATTCTCATAAGTACAATTCGAAACTGAAATTTGGAATATTTATTTTATGAATATCAACTAGTAATTAGATCAAGAACTACCCTGTAAAATGCCCTATTTGAAATTGTATGCCTTATCTTTTGATAAGACACCTCAATTTTCGTTTTTGTTTAAATATTCATTTTTGAAAAGTCGACAATCATTTTACGTTGAAAGAAACTCTTGAAAAAATGCTTCTAGTCTTACTTTCGTAAAAATTACAAGTTAGTTCAATGTTACATTTTGCAGGGAGTGTCTGCTCTGCAAAACGACCGACCGACTCCGAAAATTTTTAGCATGTTCGAAAAGAAATTTATAGAGTAAACAAAAATCTGTTGGCTCTCCATTTGCAGATCTTTCAAAAAGTCTCTCACTGCTCTTGAAGAAAAGCTAGACATAACATCTACTCAGAAAAAGTACAATATTCTGGTCGCGACTCAAGTAAATCTAAATGAACAAACATGTTCACCGTTCATCAACATAACATATACTTATTTATAAACAGTTTTTTTCTTGTTCAAATGAGATATTAGATTTTTTAGACAAACTATTATAGTTAAATTTGATGGTTGTTTAGAAATGATTTGTTATCGAAAAAAAAGTTGATCTTACCATTCATTTCTTGTTTAACAAAATCAAGTAATGTTTGAGTATAAGATACAATCCATGTATCCATAACATTAGTATTTAATGATATTGATGAATATAAACGTTTTTCATCATAAATAAAATTAATTTTTTTATCTATTTTTAATTGATCACATGATTGAATAAGAAGACGTAATGTATTGTACCAAGGTAAAAATACATCTCTAAGAATATTTTGAACACCTTCTTTATTAAATTTAAGTGATTCACCACGTACAGCAGGTGATGTAATTAAATAAAGTCTAAAAAAAAATATTATTAATTTTACATAATTGAAATAAATTTAACCTAAGTGCATCAGCACCATATTGATCACAAATTATTGTTGGATCAGGATAATTTTTGTCTTTTTTTGACATTTTTTTTCCATCACTGCCTAAGACAATTCCATTAACAATTAAATTTTTAAATGGTGGTTGATCAAATAAAGCTGTTGAAATAACTAACAATGTATAAAACCATCCACGTGTTTGATCAATACCTTCCGCAATAAAATCCGCTGGAAATGCATCCATAAATGTTTGATATCCATCAAATGGATAATGAACTTGTGCATAAGGCATTGAACCAGATTCAAACCAACAATCAAATACTTCAGGTACTCGACGTAATAGACCTTTACCTAATCGTGATGGAATTGTTATTTCATCAATACTAAAACAGAAAAAGAAAAAAAATTTTTTAATTTAATAAATTTTAAAAAAATTATTTCATTTTACATTTCACGATGAATATCATCAACAGAAACTCCAGATAATTGTTTTAATTCTTCTATTGAACTAACACAAACAATTTCATGTCCATCATCGCTAATCCATAATGGAATGGGATTTCCCCAATAACGATTTCGTGAAATAGCCCAATCACGTGCATCACGAAGCCAATTAGCAAAACGTTTTTCTTTAACAAAATCAGGTACCCTAAAAGATAGATTCTAAATAGATAAAATTTCGTTTTTATTTTCCTTTTTCTTACCAATATGTTTTACTATTATTAGCCAATAGTCGATCAACCATATCTTCAACACGAATAAACCAAGATGGAACAGCACGATAAATTAATGGTGTATCACTTCTCCAACAAAATGGATATGAATGTTTCATTACTGATTGATGAACAAGTCTTTTAGCTTCTTTTAAATATTTTATAATAGATTTATCAGTATCTTTTACATTTTGTCCTTGAAAATCTTTAACTTCATCAGTAAATCGACATTGAGCATCAATTGGACAAATAACAGGTCCTGCATCTTTATTAATAACACCATTGGTAACACAAACACGATAATCATCTTCTCCAAAAAATGGAGCTTGATGGACAATACCTGTACCATTATCTTCTGTTACATAATCATCACATAATACACGAAATGCAGTTTTTACCTATTTTATTAAAAAAATTAAAATAAAACTTATTAGAAAACAAAAGACAATCTTACAGTAGTAAAATAAGGAAATAATGGTGTATAATGCATGTCTTTTAAATGAGATCATTTGAAACTATAAAAATCAAATTTTGTATTCAAAATAAAAAACAAATAAGAATTTTCATTTAACTAACCTCTCTAGTATTTGATAACTATCAGGTTTATTATAAAGTTCAGATAATCGTTTTTCCATTAAAATAAAAACTTCATTCCTTGTTTTATCTAAAGAATAAAAAGAAAATTTAATTTTCTTTTTCTATTTTCTGATATATAAACAAACCAAGAATTTTGACATAAATTGAATTTGCATTAACACAAAGTGCAATATTTGATGGTAATGTCCATGGTGTTGTTGTCCAAGCAACAAGTTTTACTGTTGCATCATCAGTAAGTGGAAATGATACCCAAACAGCAGGATCATAAATATCTTTATAATTTTGACCAGCTTCAAAATTTGATAATGGAGTACAACATGCCATGGAATACGGTGTTACCTTAATAGAATATGTTCATTTTCTAGTTTTAAAGAATTTCTTAATACATACTTTGAAACCACGATAAACAAAACCTTTTTCATATAATTGTTTAAAAATAAACCAAACTGATTCCATAAACTATGGATACATTGTTTTATAATCTCGTCGAAAATCAATCCATCGACCCATACGATTAACAATATCCTTTTTTCAATTATTGTTATGTAGTTTTTTTCAATAAAAAATAAATCAAAATACATACTTCCCATTCTTCAGCATACCGCATAACAATTTGCCGACAATGGTTGTTATAAGTAGCAATACCAATTTTAGCTATATCTTCAGGACCTTTAATATTCAGTGCTTTATCAATTTCATATTCCTAATGAAGCAAAAAGAAATAATTTCAAAACAATAACAAAGAACAGAAAAGAATAAATTATACCACTGGTAAGCCATGACAATCTAACAACAACAATAAAAACACATCTATTATATGAAAACAGGAAGTAGGAAGTGAGTCTTACCCCAACCAAATCGACGTTCAACATGATGTCCTGTTTGATAAGCCCATCGAGTAACTGTATCTTTAATTGTTCCAGCTAAAATATGTCCATAATGTGGAAAACCAGTAGCGAATGGTGGACCATCATAGAATGTATATCTTTAACAATTAATTCGTTTAGTTATTTTATATATTTTTTTTGCTTTTTACCTTGGGCGATCTTTTGATAATTTATTACTTGTTTCAAATGCATTTATTTGCTTCCAATAAGCTAAAATATTTCTTTCATTATTTCCGAATTGAAGTGTTTCACCAGCCACGGAAAAATCGATTGTAGTGAATGGCGTTGCAGTTGTTTCTGTATACGCAGCCATCTATCTATGAAATAAAAGAAAAACAGTTTGTTTGGTCCAACTGTTACGAAATCATTATTTAAATGAAAACGTAAAAAATAATGTAATATGTAGAAACTCTCCTCGAAATTTCAAATAGAGCTGATGCAATTTATTAGTTAAGCATATCAAGCCGTCCTTGAGTCACCTGTATGATCAAAATGAATCAAAAATTACCGCCATGTAGCCTTTAATTATTGTATTTGTTCCAGAGTGTGAGTGGGGATGTAGGTAGTTTTAAACTCTGCTAGTACACACACGCGCGCACATGAATATCCACACTCTAAAAAAAAAGAAACAAAATGGAATAGAATGCTATTTTCAACAAAGACGAGCGAAAGAGCTGAAAAAAGACAAAGTTCTCACTCACACAATAACGTTAATATATTGCACTGTTATTGTGACCGTGAACACGCACAAAATTTCGTACGAATACAACTAGCAAGTGTATGTCTTTGGAAATTTCAATCTTTTCGAAAGGTCTTTGTGGTTATGAGTATCAAGTGCACTTTTTGGTTTTCAAATAGAATTGTAATTGTTATCGTTGTGTTGAGATCTTTTCAAGATTTCTTACGAAATGAACAGCATAGAACACCTACTATAGAGCTACGCTCCTCATAAGATGCTTGTAGCATAGATTGTTTGGTCAGTCTGTAAATGGCACTGTATAACTGCAATCGTTCACTGTTGTATTCATTTATCATTCAAAGAGATTCTATCTCACTGAAAATAAAATACGTTCTTGTATTGAAAAAAAGTGCTCCATGAAAGTTTCATTCGTTTTTCATGATCATTTTACATGGGGCACTTCAAAAGTTTTTTTCCCCTGGTGCTTCTAAAAGCCTCAGCTTGAGTTCAAGTATTCTGTTATAATGCTTCGACATATTTAGGATTATGTGCGAAATTTCAGACTTCTAAGTCTTACACTTTGCTGTGATTCGCCATTTCTTTTATGGCAGGTGCATGCAATCTGCTAACGAATGACCCATCATAAACAGGAGAACTTTACATTTCATATTTTGATTCCAAAATACATTTTATTAAAAAACAAAATAAACCAGAAGATGCAGCGTGAAAAACTCTAGAATGTCCAAAGAACAGTTTATTTTAATTATATCCTTTTGCTTTCCAAAAAAAATAGCAACATTTTTTGGACTAGTTTTCAAAGCATCGAGAATTAGTCACTCAGAATACTGTTTATTTTGAAAGAAAAGTCCACAGTTAACATAAGCTTTACACTGCAGATTGTAGAGCTTTTCACGCTGCATCTTTAGTATATTTTCTTTTTTTTTAATAAAATCTTTTTTGGGGGATCAAAATATGAAATGCAAAGCTCTGTCATTTATTATAAGCCACCCGTTATGTAGCGTATAGAAAATGGCATCTTATTAACGTAAAAGAAATGATAGATTACAGCAAAGTACAAGACTTTGAAAGCTGAAATTTTGCACATAATCCTAAATATGTCTAAGCATTATAACAGAACAATTGAGTTCAAACTGAGGCTTTTAAAAGACTCGAGGGAAAAGACTTTTGGAGCGCCCATGTATTTTGTATGGGGTCAGAATAAGTCAGGTTGTGGACGTGGGTCTGGCTGAATGTGGGTGTGCGTGTTAATCGTCTGTTCAGCAACATCAACACTCAGACCTACAGTCACACACTCACACCCACACCCTCGATACTTCTCTTTGTATTCTACATACAACTGAATCTCGTGATGAAATGCTTGTTGAATATCGTCGAATCTATAAGGATAATGAACAAGTTCTTGCTAAAATTGATGCATTGGATCAAATGTATCATTCAAATGCTGCACTTCGATGGTATTCACGTGATAGTTTTCTTTTTCAAATGATTAATCAAGCACTTCGATGAAATAATGTTAATACCATGTTTAAAATAAGATATTTTTCTTACGGATCTTTATGCACAACTCAATGAATTCATTAAACAAAAGAACCATATTTAATTCATATGAACAACAACAAATAGAAAAAGTTTATCTTCGTCAACATATGTCTAAAATAGAATATGAATATTTTCAACAGATTCAAGGTAGTATTATATCAATCAATACGTTTTTATCAACAACTAAATCATTACAAATTGCTTTTGCTTTGCAAATACATGGATAAAGAGTAATGATGTAATTTCAGTAATATTTTGCATCGAAATAAATCAACATTGTGACTATATTCGACCATTTGCTGATATTTCCAAATTTTCAATGTTTTATGATGAAGAAGAAATTTTATGTGCTATCGATAGCGTGTTTCATGTTCAATACATTGAAACATTACATGAAATAAATAATATTTCTGTTACATATTTAATATTAATCGATCGAAAAGAATTATAGAAAAGAATTGTTTTCATCAATATTCAATTCGAACAATTTAATTAATAAACTAGAAAAAATATTTCGTTTATCGAAGTTTTATGATTGCATATTATAAAATCATTTGTTTTTTTCAACATCATTTCTTGCATTTCAATGAATTATATATACATGCATGCATAATGTAAATGGAAGATAAAGAAGAAACCCGTTGTTTCAGTTTCAATTCTTTTGTTGTACAGTATTCATTCTGTTGCTCTTAATTTTTTAAATTTCTATCATGCTTGAAGCAATGATGCACGAAATACCTGTTTTTAAAAAATAATCAAGTGTGAATGGAACACGTAGAGATGTCCATCCCGATGTAGTAGCGACGCGAGAGATATTTCAACAATAATCGTTGCGGCAGTGGTTTTTGCAGAACTTTCAAAAACTGTATAAATTTGCCCAGAGTTTCAGTCTCTACAAATGTAACACTCTGAGACTCAACAATTCTAGCTCATACAGTCACAGTAGTGAAATTCAAAACATATTTTTGAATATCATCGTAGCAGCGACAGGTTTTCAGCCGCAATATATATCTCTGCTAGCACGATACAAGGATATGTAATGAGAGATATTCAACAATCTCTTCTACTTTAAAACGATATGTAAATGACCGTTGACTTTATAGATCTGATGAAAAATAATTGCTGTTACAATGACCGTTTGCTTGCTATTAGAAGTGAACTTAATTACGTCGTTAATTTCGACGATATATTTTAGAGGTATCTTTAAATGAAGTAAAATTTTAATGTGAAGATAGTTTGATAGTGTTGCATGGTGTATTGAAATAAAATTCGATTCTAGCCCATCTATTATTCATATGTAGTAGTTTACTTTTCGGATATTTGAACTGCTTCGTTACATTTAATATGATAAACAATCTTATAGTAAACATAAAGGTACATACGTAATAGTTTTTTTTCTTCTATTAAATGTTTATTTGCCATACGCAGTAACAAAACGAGAGAAAAAGTACGATTGCACTCGTACTTCAAACTTTATGTGAACTAGATAAAGTTTTCACTTTTTTCCCCTTTGATTCATAGGCATATGAATCATGTAAATGTGATAAAGTGACGCCTTGTTTTATTTGTAGGCCACTAAACTTCATTATTTTTGATAAGCTAGAATTTTACAAGAATATATATTGTTAAAAGCTTCGAACTGAAGCTTATCAGCTTTATGCCTAAGATTTGATATTTGATGTTATTTTCTTTTAAGATTTCACTTTATTAATATGGCTAAATCAAGTACTAATAATACGAATAACGATAGTCGTATCCCTTCCGTGATGAAAGCTGCTCAACAAAGTGGTTTTGGAGACGTACGTGATGTTCTTACGCTTGGCGAGAATGTATCTGTACCTCGCCAATTATCATCTAAACAAATTCTTGTTCAAGTTTATGCTGCTGCAATCAATCCAGTCGATTGGAAAATTTTAAATGGAAGATTATCACTTGTTACTCGATATTCATTTCCTCATACACCAGGTACTGATGTTGCTGGTGTCGTTGTTGCTATCGGTTCAGGAGTAAAACGTCTTCGAATTGGTGATAAAGTTTATGGAGATCTTGGAATTCATGGTGGTAGTTATGCTGAATATGTTCGTGGAGATGAATCCTTATTTACATTGAAACCAAATAATTTAACAATGGAAGAAGCAGCTGCTGTACCTTTAGCATGTGACACTAGTTATCAAGCATTGTTTAAAAAAGCTTCACCTCCTATTGGAACAGAAAGTAAAATATTAATCTGTGGTGGCAGTACAGCAACTGGTTTATATGCAATTCAATTAGCTAAAGCAGTTGGTGCTTATGTAACCGCCACATGTTCACAAAGAAATTTTAGTCTGATGGAAAAACTTGGTTTATATTCTGCCATCTATTCTATAGAATTCCTTTTTTTGTTATTGTTTTTTATTCTTTCTAGGATATACAATAACACAAACAAGTGTTGAGACAAATAATGATCGAAATCAATTACATCTTATTGATTATAATGAAAAAGATTTCGGAGAAGAACTTAAAGGTAAATATATTTAGATTATTATTTTATTTTATTTTTATCTTCAGATCAAAATTATGATCTTGTATATGATTGTGTTGGTGGTGAACAACAATGGATATCAGCACAAAAAATATTAAAACGAGGTGGTCAATTTATTACTATTGTTGGTGATGATACCTCATCTTTGCTTTCATTGAAAACATTGGTTATAGCTGGTTCCAGTTTGGTAAATCGAAAATTTTGGTCTATTTTTGGTTCAGCTCATCATGGTTATATACGTCATTTATTAAATGAAAACTTTCAAGACCTTGATGATATTCGGACAAAATATATTGAAACAGGCAAAGTTAAACCATTAATTGATACAGTATTTGATTGGCAAAAAGATGGTGTAGAAGCTTTATATTCACTTTATGAAAAATCCAAAAGTGGAAAAGCACAAGGAAAGTTAATTCTTAAAATAGCTGATGAAGAATAAAGAAACATTTTGTTGTTTTAAACATTTTTTATCAAGATAAATTAATAAAGCGATATTTCTAAAAAATTTTATTATTTCTCATGTATATGTTTTGTCTAGATCTATGGCAGTTCAAGTTGAAAAATTCTGATAAACTGGTCAAAAGAACTGTCGATGTAGGGTGGGTATGGATGTGCTGTTATTCATCTTCTCGTATACTCACACCCAGACCACGTTGTTCATTGCTGATTATTGCGTAAACTTGTACTTGTAGCTAGTGTGTGTATTGGAAGCTGAAGTAATTGAGTGCAAGAACTCAGAATGAGGTCGACCTTTTGGTCAGAGCTATGTTAGGTGACGTCGCATTTCATGAATCACCCCTTTTGTTCTATCATTGTTGTGACAGTATCGTGAATACATGTAACGGCTTATGGAACATTTTTTTGACAAAATGAGGAAAGCCAAAACATAGTTACAAAAGCTATCGGCATATTTTTTTTATTGCCTGTATAGCTTAACGTACCCTCTATCAGCACTATACATTTGAGACTTTCATGCTGATCATTTGTTATGAAAATGGTTGATTTTCGTATACGTGCTTATTCTATGATTCGACAGAAAAATAATCTGAAAAAAACGATATAGTAAAACATTTTGTGCGAGAAGATTTTATACAAGAAACAATTTATTATATAATAAAACGTCATGAAATTGGTGTATCAGTCGAAGACTTTCCAAGGAGGGTTTGTTCAACATCGTTCGATAAGAAAAATCTGAAGCGTTTGAAAAATGCTGCTGCAAATCGTGTTGGTGTTAGTCAACCAAAGTTAGCACGAAAATTTGGAGTAACACAATCAAGAATTTATTATAATGTGAAGGAACTAGGTCTTAAATATTATAACCTCCCTCAATAGAAGACTCCGGGTCTTCTATTATGTCCCATATTTTTTCACAATTTTTAATTAAAAAGGTTTTTCAGAAAACTTAGGCGATTTTTAGGATCTTCATTGAAATTTTTAGAATTCTACGAGCTCAGATACAATTTCCAACTCATTTTTTAAAGATTTTCGACTCAAAACCCTAAAAGCTAGGCATATTTTCATTTAAATACCATAATTAAAGTCCCAAATTACCAAAAAATTAATTAATTAAAGGTGGATCTTCTATTGAGGAGGAAGGGGGGAGGGGGGAAGCGGAGGAGTTTAAACATTAGAAGGCACCAAAATATGAAAAAGAAAAACTTGAACAAGTACCAAAAAATGTCGAAAAATGAGACGTCAAATTACAGCACCAATCACATTCATTATTGCCTACGACGAAAAATATTTTATCCTCTCTAATGATGATATGCCACAAAATATTGGTTTTTATTCTTTTGATACAGAACATCCTTCAGATAACGTGAAATATAAAACAAAAGAAAAATATCCAAAACATGTTTTAAGTCTGGTTAGCCTTATCAGCAAAAGGTATTTCAAAACCTTTTATTAGTACTACAAAAGAGCCAACTATTATTGCCGATGTTTATATTAATGAATGTTTAAGTAAACTTGTTCAATTTATTGAAGTACATCATGTTGATGAAGAATATATTTTTTGGCCCAATTTAGCATCGTCACATTATGCCGATGAAACAACACAATGGTTTCTTCAATACAAAATCAACTTTGTACCAAAACAGATCAATCCATCAAATGTTCCAAAAGCACGACCTATAGAAGATTTTTTTTGGTCGATTCTTGCTAGTAAAATATATGAGGGAGGTTAGAAAACAAAGACGGAATTGCAATAAAAAAGAAGAATTTGTCGAAAAGTAACACAAATTGATATCAAGGGTGTTCAACACATGATGAACAGCATGCGAACAAAATTAAGAAAAATTGAAGATCAAAGACCATTGTCTATACTTCGGTAATGTAATTTTATAGATTCGCTCTATGTGTATTCTATGTAAATAACGTTATTTAATAAACAATTTTTGAACAGGAAAAAGATGAGTTTTAATGCTGTCAAAAAACTTTTCGATATGCCGTTATTCCGTCTATATCTTCTTTCGTTTTATTGTCATGTGTAAATGAATATATGTTTTCGTTTCCAGTATGTTCCAGTATATTCGTTTCTTTTCGTATGGATCTTGTACGTTCTATGTAGTACTCTCTTATGAGTTCTTAACTCTCTAGTACATTCTAGTGCATTTCTTTTGTTTCCGAACTCGTGTATATGTATGTATACCCGTCGCTCGCAACAATAAAAAGGTATTACACATACGCGACAAGAGAAAACTTTTTTCTGACTTATAACTGGCTAGGGGTTGACTGCCTTCACAGCTACCCGCTGGTATCAGCTGTAGGAAAGATATTAGGGTACTGAATATGCCACTAGACAGCACTCCATACCACAAGATAGCCGAAAAGTAGGAGTATTCTTTCTTTTTATTACTTGTCTTTATCTTTTTATTTCTTAACTTCACTGAGTTCTTTTTGTTATTTAGTCTTTCGAATATTTCTATTTCTTGTTTCTTGTTTTATTGATTATTATGCGTTTGTCAGAAACATGAGAAAAACAAACAATTTTCAGCTAGTGGTTTTTCCAAAGGCAAAATTACCAATATGTCATGTAGTGTGATGCAGATGTTTGCAGGCGAAATAATTTTTCAGTTATTTTTTTCCAATTTCAGCTGCTGCACTAAAGAGGCCAGCATTGGTTGCTTGATTCATCCAATCCACAAATGCAGCTTCGATAGCACTGGATTTGCCTTGTCGTGTAGAATGTCCAACAAACGGATAGTTATCACATGAAAATCGTGCATCCCACTTCCACTCAAAACCAGAAAATCGACCTTTCAAACCACTGCGACAAGTGGTACCGAACATCGACTGAACAGCTCCGTCATTCCACGAATGTATATTAATCACTGGCATAATTAATCCAGCTCCAAGGCCAGCACATGACATTAAGCTTCCTGCAAGGCAAGCCGGAATTTGAAGAAGATCAATGGCCAATGTCGCTGATACGACGAGAGCCAATATCAAACAATAAATCAACCGCATTTTCTTGATAATATTGTGTAGAAGACAAAAGAATCAAGATTGCAATAAATTGAAATTTAGTCCTTTTAAAGGAGGTAGATTCAAATTCAAATGTGTATTTCTCAGCGAGAACAAAAAGTTTGATTATAACGTGGGAACCCAAGGTATGGTGTATCGCTTCGTTGCAGCAAACGGCAAATTCGCCAAGAACAAAACATCTGATTCTTTTCCCACAATTCTAGTTCTCACCAGTGAGAACTAATAAACAAATCGAATTTCATATTATGGTGTATCAGCATCAGGGATTTTATATTGGGTTGTGTACCTCATCACCGAAAATGCAATGACACTTGTTTGGATCTTGCTTATGAATCTCGTCAGATGGCAAATAATTTTCAATGATTTTGAAAAATTACAAGAATATTATTATTTTTTTATTTTCACAATCCGAATGGTTATCTGTAGAATTGCTGATAACACAGAAAAATAGTATTCATTAGAAATTTTTAAGATCAGTGTTGAAGTTCAGTAACCTATTCTTGGATGAATCAAAAATAAGTAATAATCGTTGCTGGATGATCATGTTTTCTATGGTTGATTGATTCAAATCACTGGTTTGAATGATTCTTTTTCCATCTTTCTATTATACGAAGGAATGGATTTATATGTTGGACTATGCCGTGAATCGTGTATCTTGATAATACTCGCGTTTCATAGATTGCTTTTGTAATAATGCTTGTTTAGGTCGTTTACGCATAATTCTTTATAGACTTGATGCATGTCTGGTTTAAATGATTGAAAACGTTTTTCTTAAATATAATGAATAATTCATTTTTTCCCGTATGTTTTTTCTTTCTTTCATTCTTTATTTTCTGAATTTGTTGGACCGTTGCCCATATCGGTTGTTACTGCACTTATCAGCACCTGTGATTGGTGATGGGTTGATTGATGTAATAATTTCGAATACATAATAAAAAATTGTTTTTCGTTATCAATAAACGGTGATATGGCATGGTGTGGATGTGCATACGATTATCCTCACAGTCCTAGGCACCACGCCCACACGCAGACCCAGACTCAGCTCCACACGCACACCCAGTCCCACACCGATGCCCACCCCACTTTTGATCGACTCTTCATCGTTCTCTTCCGCAGATGTACAATTGTGAAGAATTCCCACATTGCAAATCTATTCAAGTCTTATCACTCTCGTTATTATTTGCGTTTTGTATCTTCATGAGGTTCACATTTACAACCAAAAAAAAGATGATGACGACCCACGTAATAATCACGAATACCAAAAAGACTTATATCAAAGTCAACACCATTAAAAGTGTTAAAACGAGGATTATGACCCTTACATTTTGCATCCGCACGACCCGTCCAACCATATTTGCCATAGTACCAGTCACAGCATTTGCCACATTTATTGCAAGCATTGCCACCGCAACAATCAACTGCCTTTGGTGCTGCAGATTCTCAATGCAAACATTCATTCATTGAAATTACTGTTACATGGAACTGCTGAAAATGCAAAATGATTGAAAAATCATATACAAATACATGCTAAGAAGCGGAAAATACATTAGAAGAATTTACTCTATAAAGAATGGAGATAGTGTGGTTATGAGCAATCTCTATAACCACACCCACTCACACCCAAAATCTTCAAAATTGGAAGATATATGTAAAACAAACTGTTCCATATTGAAGGAGTCTATTGAATCAAAAAAGTTAAAAGATCTCCGTCTCCTTCAGCAAGGTCAAAACGCGTCATGGCTGCTTCAAACTTCTGTAAAATACGCACCCTCGAGTAATTTTTTTTACCAGAGCGATTTCGCTATGGGTCTGGATGATCGATGGATGATTAGATGGAACAGCTTTTTGTGCGATTTCAAGCGCCTTCTCATAGTGTGTAAGTGCAGTCGAGTAATCTCTCATTTTTTGAAATACGATACCGATGTTGTTGTGGGCTTCGACCAGCTTGGAATGACCAGGTGGAAGTGCTATTCGTCTAATTTCAAGTGCTTTTTCATAATATGCGAGCACAGTCGAGTCGTCTTTCATTGACTTACACAAACTGCCAATGTTGTTGTAGACTCTGACCAGGTTGGAATGAATAGGTATAAGAGTGTTTTGCAAGATTTCAAGTGTCTTTTGATAGTATGCGAGTGCAGTCAAGTAGTCTCCCTGCGATTGATAGACGCGAGCTGAGTTGTGGTAAGTAGGAGCCAGCAATTTAAGACTAGGTAAAAACGATTTTTTTTGAATGTCAGTTGTCTTTTCACAATCTGAGAGTGCTGTCTTCACATCGCCCTTTTCAAAATGGATGCCTCCTAGATTAAGATGGAGAAAACCAAGTCCAGTTGTATCGCTGCCAGATGTTGTCTCAAGAAGTGCCCTATAGAATATTTCGGTCTTCTACAACTCACCCATCATGAACATTAACTGTCCCAGTCGGTGATACTCTGTTCCTTCTCCGCTCTCTTTAGGCATACACTTAGTGAGATTCAATAACTCTTTATCGTTGTCACTCGTAAGTGTTAGTTCCACTTGCCATAATTTCGTTTCGATTTGATGCATCTTGCCGATTCGAAAGACAGTATGTATGGAAAAAAGAATTTCTTTTTCAGAGTCGCCAAAATGACTTATGTTGTCCAATGAAGCAAATAGGGTCGATGTGATGGATGGATCTATTTTTATTTGAAACAGAATACCAGTAACATTTGAATTTTGTTGAGTACTGTCCGCATACATAAATGAGACCTGTTCATTGGTACTCGTAGACAGAAAGTTATTGAATGAGAGAAGACCACCTTCATTCTTGTTCATCTTTTCAAAGTCGGCATTTAACACACCTTGTCCTCGATATGCAATACGTAATTCTGTTGTGTTTGTTTCTGAGTGAACTCGTTCAATTTGTCGATGGAAATCTCGTAGAAAAACTCCCATTTTGATGATAATCTCGGTATTCAATGTTCGCAGAGCTTGATTGAGTACCAAATATATCAATGACTCTTTTGGTTACCACTAAATAGCCGATACAGGAGTATACTCTCGCTCAAAGTTGTCAATCACGCGCAATACAGCATCGCTATCCCCATATTCGATACGACAGAACTCAACGAATTCTTTCTTCGCTCGATCATCATATTCGGTCTTCAAAAAAATATCTTTGAGTAATTTTGATTACATGAATGTGTGGTCTAGTTCATCTAAATTGCGAACTTCGGAATGCGACGTGGGAATGATACTGATTGATGTCAAATCATAGTCGGACTGGCGAACCTTTTGTCGCAGTGCATCACAAAGGGGTTGAATTTCAGTGAAGACTCGTTTTTCTTCTTGACATTCTTTAGCCGATAATTCCTTTATTGATGATTGATTATGGTGTGGGTGTGAGTGGGTATGGGGTGTGGTTGTGGGTAATGTCTTCGAGTCACCGACACCCACATACACCCACACCGACACTCTTGTACTATTCAACGTACTTTCATGTGTTCATCTGATTCAATATGGATTGGTGTCTCAGCTGATAATCGATATGTATGCGTTTGTCCTATTAATAAATTTGGTGATCGATATCTTCTTGTTGATAGAATTTGTCAAATGAAAAATAATTTAACATGTCAATATGGTGGTCAATGTATTTCTGCTGATGAATATATGATATCACATCAAAAATTTATATGTATTTGTTCAATAGGTTATGCTGATGATCGATGTGAAATAGCTGAGAATAAAATAATTCTATCATTTTCAAATGATATTGCTTTATCTCAATCGATATTTATTCATTTCATAGAAGTCATTAATGATGGTACATCAATGAGAACAACTACTTTTCGAACAATTTCTCTTACACAACATTTACTTACAATTTATTGACCAAGACCATTTCATCTTGTTTTTATTGAAGTTTACAATAAAATTTATTATTAAGCTGTTATTAAAAAAACTTATAGTCGATCAACAACCATTGCTACAATAATAAAATTATCAGATCATTGTCAACATATAAATGAATTATTTAATGAAAACTTTGTTCAAATGCATCGTCTTTCGTCGTATTAAATATTACGATTTAACATGTCAAAGAAATTCATCAAATCTTTCTTGTTTTTATGATGATCTTCATATTTGTTTATTTTATGATTATGGAAAACAATGTTTAGCAAATTGTTTCGATATTAATCATGATATGAAATTTTATTGTTAAGGTCAAAGTGTTTGTGAAAATGATGGTCAATGTTTTCAAGGTACTCCGCATTGTCCAGCAAAGTCACTATGTATTTGTCGGCCATGTTTTTATGGAATGCGATGCCAATTTATGGCGAATGGATTTGGTTTATCTCTGGATGCTATCTTAGATTATCAATATTCAACCAAATATCAATATTATAAATCAGCCACATATTGTCAAAATTAGTTTAATATTAACTTCTATCTTCATGATTGCAGGATTCATCAATGGAGTTTTATCTTTGATTACATTTAATAATAATGTAATATATGAAGTTGGTTGTGGTTTGTATTTATTAGGTTCATCGATTACAACATTACTTACAATTATTTTATTAGGATTAACATTTTGGATACTTGTTCCAGCACAGATGTCCCTTTTAAAAAATCGATTATTTGTACAAATTCAATGTATGTTGTTCGATCTTCTTTTACGAGTTTGTTTTAATATGTATCAGTGATTGAATGCGAGTGTTGATGCTGAACGCACTATTACAATAGTAAACGCTACTCATTTTCGAAAGAAAACAAGTAGAAAAATAGATAAAATAGTTATTATTGTTCTTTTGATTTTTATTGTTGGTACTTCTTTTTATGATCCTTTTTGTCGACGCTTAATTGACGAAGAAAATGAAGATGATAAACGCATATGGTGTATTGCTACTTATCCATCTAGTTTACAAATATTCAATTCTATTATACATATATTTCATGGTTTAGCTCCATTTATTATTAATCTAATATCAGCTGTTATTCTCATAACGAAAAAATCTCGTCTACAATCCAATCTTCGACCGAATCAAAATCATAAACAACTTTTAAAAGAACAATTTCAACAACATAAACACTTATTTACAGCGCCTGTTGCATTTGTTATTCTTGGATTACCACGTGCAATCATTGCATTTGTATCAAAATGTATGAAATCAACAAATGATGCATGGTTATTTCTCATTGGATATTTTATTTCATTTTTGCCACCTATGCTCACATTTATTGTATTTATATTACCATCAGAATTTTACAAAGAAAAATTTCATAAAGCTGTTACAGGTTATCGACATAAAATACGACGACGTTTGAATTATACTATATAAAAAAGTAATTAACATGACTTTTATTTTTTTACTGTATAAAATGATGTAATTGAGTAATGGGGACCATATGTCGGAAGTCTTACACCGGATCAATCTCTGAAATCTGCAAAGTATTTTGAGTTGAACTCTTGCGTCGAAAAATAGTATGTCCTTACCTTATTGTGACAACTGGCTTCGGATTTTTTTTTTCTTATAAGCTTATATCATACTCTTTGAATCGTTCATAGATTATACAATTATAGGGTTCCCTTTATGCCACGTTTCAACAGTTATCAGACAGTACGTCGAATGTTTTGATTAACATTTACCATCGATAGAAAAAAAAATCTTGTTAACATTCTTATATTGATTTTCAAAAAGACAGAATACTTAAGTATACATCGTGTTTTTTCCGATAGAGGATACAAAGTGTAAGTTTTCGAGGCTGCTAATTAAATGATTACAGTAAATCCTATGATTGTATTTCAATTAACGACTGAAATAATATATAAAAAACTATCATAATGCAATTACATCCGATTTTGACATGATTTTGAAGAATTTCTTTCTTAGATAATCTATTCATCTATCCTGTGAAGACACAATGAATATGGAAGCAAGTTTAAACAGTTTATTTTTGTCTGTATTGTATGCATCATATGTTAAATTTGTTTTGTTACTTTATTTTTTCACCATATAGAGTCGTTCGGGGTAATTCGGATCAAAAATAAAAAATTTCATTTTATTTTTTTTCGTTCTCATTCACTTTATGCAATAGAGGTTTGAATTTTGGACCATAAGTAGAACCAAGTGTNCATGAGACCTACATATGGGCAAAATTTCAAGACATAATTTCGTCATTTGAATTTTTTGTAAATACCTTGTCATAGGCCGAAAAATCAGTAAAATGGCCATAACCTTCGAAAGAAGCAACATGGGCCCAAATCCTCTTAGGCTTTTTCTTAGCATACTGACCCCTACATATGGGCAAAATATAAGCAAAATCGGCGTGAATCACTTGGAACGGTTCCCTCGTAAGTTCCTAGTGGGTTGTTCGAATTTCAATAGGATCAGAAACTATTGTTAGGCGTGAAGCTATTCACAGAAGCGTTTATGTTTGTGATAGAGCGATCAAGTTTTCTTAGTGGTTAAATGAATTTCAGCAATTTTTGTATTATTAATAGCTGAACTTAATAATTAGTTATAAGTAAAACTTAGAACGGCTCGATCTATGCCTAATCTACGAAAACTTATGTACGCCCACAATCTAACAGTAGATATTCGAGTATCTATAGTTCACTGTTCATGTTTATGTGAAGTTTGAAAAGACAATAGTCCTAGATCAATATTAGCGTCGTACAATACCAAAGCACTGGGAGCTGGAACTAGGATTTCACTTTTTTGAAACACGATTTAAAGGAGTTTTTGAAGTACAGGGGTAAAAGCTTCTATTCCCACCCTACCACAGACTGTGACAGACGTTGTTGATATACAATGACAGATAATGTATGGACAACATCTCGTTCTAATGAATGAACTACTTCCTTAGTGTATCTCTGTAAGACTAAGTACAGGAATAATGAAGAGATGTGTTCCAAAATAGACAAAACAAAGCAGTATCTCTGTGATTAGCCAAAATCAGCAACATTGTGTATCATATTGTCATTCCATAGGAATAGTGCTAATAGCTTTTTTATGCGTCGTTTTCACCGGAAAGCCGAAAATTAGATTGGCTCACTCTTTCTATTTTAAAAACGAAAGGGGAAGCTGCACATTTTTTAAAAGGAAAGTGAGGTTTCTAATTTAAACAGGTACTCACAATCTTTTTCACATATTTGGGTCACATGATTATTGCCATTTCGAAACAAAAAAAAGCGGACATTTACGGTCACTTCAGCACGAAGATATTCACTACATTTTATTTTTAGGAGGACATCCAATCTGTGAAATATGAGACAGAAAAAAAAATCATGAAACTTGCTGAACTTCTTGGGCATCCAATATTATCGGGTAAAAATTGAGATAAGCTACACTTGCATGCTACAGAGCAAATGTAGTTCTTCGTTTTTTTACGATACAACTACGAATTTATTTCAACGCTATTTTGTTCATTTTATACTGTTTTTAGTCATGCCGCAATCCAGCTGCATCTGAGAATCAAAAGCAGTAAAATACGCAAAACGAGTTTTCTAAATACAAAGTAGAGAGTAAGTTTCGTTATAATAGTAGCATAACGATGAGGTGAGCTAATCCTGTACGCGAGATACATCGACTTGGAAAAAATAACATCGTTTTTTATGTTGAGATTTTTCATGAACAGAGATAGCAGGTCTCGTAACTTTCTCCTCCTCTATATTTGAAAACTTTTCCTCTGTCGAAAGGTGAAAGTATAATGTGTTGTTAAAGCAATGAAAGAAACGTTAAGCTGTTTCTTCTTGTAAGAAATCATTTTATCATTTCTTACCTTAAGAAGATTCGTTTCATCAAGATATTTTCATTATGTGTTCATGAAAGACCTATCCACGTATTTTTTTTTCGACTCAAATAGTTAGTTGTGCTGCGCATAAGCATTTTTTAGATTCATATTATATCAAATACCTCACACAAATTTTCAGTGAAGACTAATGTTTCTGAACGACAATTAATCGCCAAAAAAGTAGATAGCATTGTTCAAACCGTGAAATTTTTTGCCTACATTGGTGTTTCGTTTTGAAAACATCAGCTTGCTCATTTTTTGACTCGAATTTGTGCTTACTTGTCCACTATTTAATTCTCATTACATATATTTAAGCGTTGGGTACAGTATGGTGACTGCTATGAGCAGGAGATCAACACTAGGAGATTTGGTTGATGAGAAACTCCTTTCTTTTCCACAAGCAAAGCAAATTATGCTGATCAGTGATCGTCATTCTCCCATTTTCCCCTATGGTTATTCACAGAGCGATAATGAAGCTTATAAAATAAATAATCCAGAGTAGCTATCTTAGCTGAACCTTGTTAGTATAACGACTAACCTGTAAGCACACCATTGCAATATTTATGTAGCTTTTATGTCTTCATCTTTTACATCATTTGTATGAATTGCAAACATGAATTTTGTGAGCCAGGAAATGAAAATTGGTGTTTTTTCCCTCGAGTAAGGAGCGAAACTAGAAGCATTTGGAGTCGGGACTACTATTGTAACGAAAATAATGTCCATCGTCAAGAATAGTCAAGATCAGAATCTGATATTTTTGAAGAACCAGAGGTAGGATGAGAAAAGATATGATTGCGCACATCTTTAATCTACATGAGACAAGTACAGCGAATAGCCAATCAATTGACAAAGAAGAATATCAATAAATAGGCAGAAGTTTTCGTTAATCATTTGCTATTATTGATACGCATAGTTTTTTTTGACAACTATGCTGGTTGTAACTGATCGAAAATTTTGGTTTATAATGTACTGACGAACGCTTATAGCATTTATGCAGGACTCCACTTGGTCACCTTACCATTTCAAGGATCCAGTTTAAATTGTTCCAGTCATCTACTTGTTTTTCTATTTTATTTTTATTTTTTGTCAAACTTAGTTTGTTATGGTCAATCCTACATGAAAAATCCGAATTAAAGATTTTTTTTAAAATGAATCAACTGAGAAACTGAGTTTATAGATTGTGCGTCACTCACTAGTTTATTCACCAAGAACTTGTTTCTGCAACTACAGTATTGCAGAACATTTTTTTAAAGGTGTGAATAGACCCGAAAACGACGCTTTCCTTTGCAAATCGATAAGTTCTATACGACTATGTTAAACGTCTGAAATTCTGTCATAATCTTCAATTATGGGCATCCTATTCAAGTAGAATGTCCCACTTTTTGATCAATCTCTTTTCTTCTCATATTTCGAATGGAAACGACTCAAAACTATGAGGACTGATGTTTGATTCAGTTAAACGACAGATCGAAATAAACTCAACGATTTTACAACAAAGAGACAATCACTTACTCAAAGGACAACGTCGTACTCGAGTACATTTGAGTATTGAAGAGTATGTCGAGATACAAGACGTTTGAAGCATGATGCTTTTATTGTGTCCTCTCTTCAAAGACAGCAAGCAGAACCTGATGCTTCTTACCAGCTTGATGTAAAGTTCAAGTAAGAGATTAGTCATCGAGTTAATGAAGACAAAATTTATTGCTCTGTTAAACAAAATCAGATTTACCTTTCTCTCCACTCTCTATCAGACGTTTTCCGCTTTGAAATCCACTTTTTGTATTGGCACTCTCATTCAAATATGAATCAAATATTTTATGCGGCTCCTTGAATGCATGACATCTTCATCCTAATTTAGTAACTCTACTCACCATCTCGTTCGCTACTTTATCTATTAACTCTTCTTTTAGATCAAACTCAATATACTAATCCAGAGCTTGAGCGACGAATTGCCACATGCCAGATTCGTTCTAGCGTAGATTTGAATGGGCTAGAATTAGAAGATAAAGACATGCCTATTGTCGTAAGAGAGGCGATAAACAAAAAACAATGCAAGGAACTGAAGCTATACCGTAACAAGATAAAAGCAAAAGGTGTCTTGATCATAGCTAATGCACTACGCGAAAAGTGTGAATTGGATGAACTAGAACTTTGGCATAATTTTGTATCTGACGAGGGTGTGCATGCTTTAGTAGAGGTATTCAAATCTAATAACAATCTCAAACGACTTGGTCTCGGCACAAATGGAATCACTGACAATGGTGCACAAGATCTTGCTAATATGCTCCGTACAAATACATCATTGACTTGGCTAGGGCTACATGAAAATGGTATAAGCAGTGACGGAGCTCGAGAGATAGCCAATGCACTCGAGCAGAATCATAATACAAACCTCGAACAACTGCATATCTTCTCGAACAAGTCTGTGAACGACTTATGTGTGGATTCTCTGGTTACCTTGATTGAAAACAATCGATCATTGAAGGAACTCTTCATTATGAATTGCGATCTGTCTGCTGATGGCAAAGAAGCACTTCAAAAAGCG